CCATGGGAATCCGTGGAAACCTTGCAAATGCTTAAGACGAATGTGCTCGGCACTGAAGCAAGAACCACATTTTGAAAACAAACCGCCCTCAAACCGTGAAACTCTTGCAATATTTGAAACGAATTGTGGCGGCGCCACGGCGAGAACCACATTTGAAAACCACCCGCCCTCAATCCGCGAAATTCTTGGAACTGTGTGAAACCAATGTGCGCGGCGCTAAGGCGAGAACCACCATTTAACAACGACCCGCCTTCAACCCGTGAAGCTCGGTGCATTACAACAAAAAACGAATGTGCGCGGCGCTGGGGCGAGAGCCACATTTTGAAAACGACCCGCCCTCAATCTGTAAAGTTTTTGCATTTCCCCCAAATCCTAATTGGGGCTATTGGTTTCTCTGGACACCCCGCGCAGGAGCAGGAACCCACTTACCTCATCATCAGCATGATCATCATCGTCATCAGCAGCAGCACCACCATCATCATCATCATCATCATCAGCACCGTCACAAGCATTACAATCACCATCGTCATCAGTCATCCCAGCGTATCATCCTCATCACCACAACCATCAGCAACACCGCAACGAACATCATCGGCCACCACCGTCAACATCACCACCACCGTCCCATCATGATCTCCGACCATCACCACCATCACCCACTCACTCTCACACTCACTCACACTCAGCCATCGCTGACTCATTCATCATCACGTCAGGACCCCAACACAATCAGCGGCCATCATGGTCATCGTCGTCACCATCACCATCACACACCACCATCCTCATCACTATCACCATCCAACCATGACCATCGACTCAGAGGGCACCACGTCTGTGAATGAATTGCAAGGGCGTCTGAAGCAGGAGCCCCCTCCCTGTGGGGCATGCGCTTCACGTTCGAATTCGAGGCAGGTCATCAGAAACCTATGGTTGTCGTTATTTTTTCGCATTTCGGGCCTCATTTTAGCGGAAGTCTCGAGAGACAGCCTCGTCCGTGAGTGAATTCCAGGGAGGTCTCAAGCGGGAGCCCCTCACTATGGAGATCCCGCATCCATGTTCGAATCCGAGGCGGGTCAGCACACACTCACACAACTCATAAACAAAAGGCGCGTGGACGCTGACAGTACTGTACAACGCGGTGTTTCCACATGCGTTGATCATGCACAAGGCTAGAACTCAGAGGGGCACGAAATCATTCTCTTTGTGCCACGGTCGTCCACTCGTTGCGCTGACGCCCACGTCGCCTGAGATACCGCTGCGAAGCTGGGATTGTCGCGTTCGGGATGAAGGTGTAGGTGCGAAGAACATCTGCGGCGGGAGATCTGGCGACACTCCCGTAAAGCAACAGTTCTTCTTGCAACAAACGCCTGTCCAAAGATTGGCAACCGGCACCTTGGAGCACCGTTGCGTTGGAAAGACGAGACACGCACGACGATAGAATGTGCAAAGTTGATCTCAGGCAGCGGCAATAGAAAGCATTCCATATCCTGGTCTCTGCGGCGTTCGACAGCGCGGACTGCAAGCCGTACGTGAGCTTCGAAATTATGCCCGCGTTGAAAAAAGCGTCGCTGTCGTCACTGTCGTCATGAGACGGGTCACCGGGAACCTGTAACTGTCGTCGCGTCTCGGCTCCCTTAGCCTGAACACGGAGGAGGTATCGAACGGGAGCGCCCGTCTTCGGGTGCATCGCGAAGAAGTATCAAGCGGAAGCCATGTTTTCTTTTATGCGGCCCGTACTTCATGTTCGAAACCGGGGCGGGCCATCGGAAGCCTGTGACCGTCGTTACCTTTGGGCTCTCTTGGCTGGAACATGGAGGAGATCTTGACTGGGACTTCGTCCGTGAATGAATCGCGAGGAAGTGCCATGCATGGCTCCTCCCGATGGGGCCCCCACCTCCACGTTCGAATCCGAGCGGGGTCATAGGAAATCTGTGTCTGTCGTCAATCTTGGCCTCCTCAGGCTTGAATCGATAGGACGTGTCGAGCAGGAGCCTCGTCAGTGCAAGAATCGCGAGGAAGTCTTCGGCGGGAATCCCTCCTTATGGGCACCTCCATGTTCGAATCCGAACTGGAATCTCGAGCTGGCAGGCTACAGGCAATCACTGGCCAATCACTCGAGCCATATGAGGAGGATGAGGAAAAGGAAGAGGATGAGGAGGAGGAAAAACAAGAGGAGGAACAGGAATACAGGATGACCACGGCGACGGTCGGCGACGGTCGGCGACGGCCGGGCGCAAGGGGGCACCATTGTGTCCGGGCCCCTTTGGTAACCCATCCGTGGCCGAATCGGGCGCAGGGGGAAACTCTTGCGTCCGGGACGCCCGTTGTAACCGATCGGCGGCCCAATCGGGGAGGGGGAAACCCTTGCGTCCGGGACGCCAATTGTAACCGATCGGCGGCCGAATCGGGCGCAGGGGGGAACGTCTGGGGCGCGGGTGGTAGCCTATCCGCGGCCGAATCGGGTGCAAGGGGAAACCCTTGCGTCCGGGACGCCGGTTGTAACCGATCGGCGGCCGAATCGGGCGCAGGGGGGAACTCTTGCGTCTGGGGCGCGGGTGGTAACCCATCCCCTGCCGAAAGAGGAGCGTCACCGTAAGATGAAAACGCCCTGCGTGCTCGTGGGCAAGGGGCCACTAACGCAATGTGTGTTTTGTTGGCTGTCCTGTTTCGCCCCCGGGGGCTTCCTCCCATCCAGGGGCGCGTCTGGGGCTGAATCCCGTCGTCGTCGTCGTCGTCGTCGTCGACGTCGCCGCCGCCGGCGTCATCGTCGTCCCCACTCCCTCCCTCCTCCTCGGCCCAGGGCCCCACGAGAGCCCCGACACGCCCGAACAGAGGAGGAGGAAAAGGAGGAGGACCAGCGTAAGCCCAAGAATCATCAACGATGCTCGAATAAAGCCTGACTCCAAGCTCGATCTTCATAGGCCCCTGCAAGGTTCTCTTCCACTGAGGGGACTGCCTCATTGGAAGACAACCGTTTGAAGAGCCTGAACCGCGCCACGACATAATTCTCTAGACCCCAACGCCACGGATCAACTTGACTATTGCGTCTTGACGACCCTGGACCGTGCCAGAAAAACCATTCCTGGGACGTCAACACCGCGAATCATCGTAACTGTTGCGCACTCATAACCCTGAATCTTTTCAAAACACCACTTCTGGTACGTTGACCATGGGAATCCCTGACACTCTTGTAGTTTTCGAAAAGGACTGCGCGCGGCGCTGAGCCTTAGCGCGGCCCCAAACCTCAGCGGCGCTAAGCCGTAGCGACTTAGCAGCTAAGGCGGGAACCACATGTTGAATACCACCCGCCTTCAATCCGTGAAGCTCTTGCAAAATTGTAATAAGAATGCGCGCGGCGCTAAAGCGAGAGCCACATTTGGAAAACGACCCGCCCTCAACCCGTGAAGCTCTCGCAAGTCTTGACAAAGAAAATGTGTGGCGCTTAAGCGAAGGTCGCATTTTTGAAAACCACCGGCCCCCTGTCTGTGAAACTCTTGCAAATTTCGAAAGTGAATGTGCGCGGCGCTAAAGCGAGAGCCACATGTTGAAAACCACCCGCCCTCAATATGTGAAACTTTTGCACATGTTCAGAACGAATGTGCGCGTCGCCAAGGCGAGAGCCACATTTTGAAAACCACCCGCCCTCAATGCGTGAAACCCTTGCTTTTTTTGAAAACGAATGCGCGCGGCGCTGAGGCGAGAGCAACATTTTGAAAACGACCCGCCATCCATCTGTTGCCAATTCAGGGCCATAACTGGCGAGGAAACCTCAGGCGAAACGCCTGGCCCGCCCTTGCGACCGGCCTCGGGGTGCGACAGCGAGAAAATATTCATCAGGAAAAGAATGAAAGAGCAGGACGACGACGACGACAACCGAAATCCGCTCAAAATCGGTCATATGACCTCTCTCAGGCCCTCGGCCCCATCCAGGCAGCGTCTGGGGCAGAATCTCGTCGTCGTTTTCGTCGTCATCGTCGCCGAGAAACGCGGTCGCCCGGATCTGAAGGTCCAGCAATCGAAAATTGGCACTCGGACTCATCCAGGGGCGCGTCTGGGGCACAATCTCGTCGTCGTCGCCGCCGCCGCCGCCGCCGCCGTCGTCGTCCTCGTCGTTGTCGTCGTCGTCTCGTCGATCATCGAAATTCGGAGGCTCCGTCGATCCTCCATCTCAGGAGGAGCTGGAGACGCCAGGAGGAGCGAAAAACAGCCATACACCCTGCGAAGTGCTCAAGAAATCATGGGTTAAGAAATTCATGGTCTCAGATCTTGAACAAAAGCACGAAATTTCCATTAAAATCTTAGGGTTTACATTGAAACATTAAGAATAATCGAGACTCTGGCCGAAAATTTAAGTTTTCTTAAGCATCGCCTAAGGTGTAAGCCCATCGAGCCTCGAAGGTCAAGGCCTCCACCCTCCCTCCCTCCCCCCCCCTCTGCCTGGGGCCCCAGGGCAACCCCGGCAGGCCCGAAGAGCCCCGAGGAGAGCGATCGGGGATGGACAGACCTCCCTTTAGTAAAACGTGGTTTAGTGAAAACGACCTGAGGCCCAAACCTGGCGGGCGCAGCGGCGCAAGCCTGGAAAATAACGCCGCGGCGCCCTCTCGAGAACCGAAGACGGACAATTCACTAATCGACGTGTCACTGTTGGGGGTTCTGTCCACCCCCGAAGCGACACTGGAGAAGCCAGGCACATCAGGGCGCGGATTCGGTGAACTCGAACACTGCACCTGCTTGCCACGGAGCGCTCCGGCAGCTACCGGCTCGTCCACGGCCATGCGCTGGGCAGCCGCCCGCACATCTTCGGCGAGGCGATCGCGTCCCGCGTGGGCGCGGGTGATGGCCACGGTCAACCTCAGCCACGTTCTCCCGGCCTTTGCGCGTTTGAGACCCGAGCACGGGGTGGCGGGGTGGCGTGGGTCCTCCGTCGCCGTCTTACCACGTGACGGGGGGGGGGACGTCCAGGAGAGAGCGGCCCCGCACGATCCTCTTCCTCCTCCTCCTCCTCCTCCTCCTCCTCCTCCTCCTCCTCCTAGTCCTCCTCCCCTTTTCTCCCCCTCCTCCTTCTTCTCTCCTCCTCCCCTCCTCCTTCCTCCTCCTCCTCCTAGTCCTCCCCCCTTTTCTCCCCCTCCTCCTCCTCCTCCTCCTCCTTCTTCTCCTCTCCTCCTCCTCCTCCTCCTCCTCCTCCTGCTCCTCCTCCTCCTCCTCCTCCTCCTCCTCCTCCTCCTCGAAATGGAATGAGGCTTGTGGGATTCGCGCGGCGTGCGCCCGCCGAGGACGGCCGAGCCCGGCAGCGGCGCCACGTGCTCGCTGGCGGCAGGCGCGGGTGGCCTGTGGCGGGAAGGCGTGCCGCACGCCTGCCGCACCGCGCGCCTGCCGGACGTGAGCCCGCAGCGCGAGCACCTGGACTGGCTCGCGCGGAGCTCGAGCTCGCCATCGCTCGGACGTCCATTCCCTGTGTTTTTTGCCTCGGTTTCGTGTGTGGCTTTGTCGCCAGATGATCCAGGATGCTCCTCGATGATCTTCGCCGAAGGAGAGCTGCACACGTCCGAGCGATGCCAAGCGGACTGGTGTGCGCTCGGCTGGAGAGCGTGCTGCAGTTTGATCCAGCGTGGGCCGCGCGCCCGCGAGGGCCTTTCCTGCCACCAGCGGGTCGACAGCGAGCGCGTCGGCAAGTGCCCGTCGCGCCCTTCGGCGGACAAGGGCCGCATGTGTCTATCTATGTTGTGCCAATCGTGCTGTGCCATCTGCGCGGTGCAACCTATGTGGGGCAATCCGCGCGATGCCATCTATCGTATCAAATCTGTATATAGATGTATACAGACGTGGATTGCAGTGTATGCGGTGCCATCAATGTTGTGCAACTTATGTTGTGCATAATCTGCGGTGCAATCTATATTGCGCAATCGGTCTTGTGCAATCTATGCGGCGACGAGGCGGCGATGGGGAGGCGACGGCGGCAACATAGCCGCCAGACCGCCAGCTAGGCCCAGGTCCTTAGAAGAGAATTCAAAAACCCTAAGTGCCAGCGCTGTTTGGCGAATCAGTGGTCTTGGCCTCCTAGGGTCCTCCTGGAAAAAGCTCTTGGAGCGACTCGAAGGCCTCCGTGGTCGTCTTGAGACAACGGGACCATCTTGGAAGTGATGGAGGCGCCTGGGGCGAGCTTGGAGGTCTCTCGCAAACTCCGGGGCCGTCTTGCATGCCATCTTGGTTTCTCCTGGAGGCCGTCCGCGTCGCGGCGGGCCCCTTGCCAGCCTCCAGGGCACCCGGCCCGCCCCCGTGCCTGCCCCTCCTGGCCCTTTTTCGCATGCGCTGCCCCCAGGCATTGTCGTATAGATGACGTTGGGCTCAAGCTTCGCCTCCCGCATCTCGCTCAGCAGCGAAAGATCCCGCTGCCACTGCCCGCACGACTTGCACGCGAGCATTCCAGCGATGTAGCACACTAGGATGCAACCGTGGTTTCATACCCACGAAAGGCGCCTGGCTCCCAAGACCATCTCAGTGTGGACTCTTACTGATAATAACCAGCAGGACGGCCATAGACTCTCACTGCTGAGCACTACCAGGCGCGCCACGCATGCACGAGGAAAACTTGGGGCATCGTGTCGGATATTCCTGGGATTGCTTGGTCCTCTTGGGCAAATCCTGAATCAAATCGATCGATGTGCATGACCGGCAGAAGCAAAACAAGGCAGACTGCTGAACACATTCTGTCCTAACCTTCCTTCCTAGCAGAGATGGGTGTCAGCAGGCGAGAGAGTTGTAGGGGGCCGATGGGGAAACCCGAGACTCTGAAGGCCCAGGCGAGGCTACCTTGACTTCTAGGGGGAGGCTCCCTCCAATTATGTAGTATGTAGTTTGCGCCCACGCTGGGCACGCACGGTCATATGTCCCTGACCAACACAGACAGCCCAGTGTCATTGCGTGATTTCCTCGCACGCGCTGATCCCAACATTGTAGCTTACTGGGGCTGACCCGTGGACTACGTCCACTGCTGGGGGGCGGGTGATAGATGGTGCCGCCAAATGCTCTCAATAAAATGGGGCCCCATGTTCACTTTCCACGTCCCGCTGAGCAGCGGGACCGTCCGGTGCCACTGCTGGCCCGTCCCGCCTGGCCCGCAAGCGGGGGGGAGGAGCAGCAGGACGGGGTGAGCCGACCGCTCTTTGACGCAAGATGTCTGCGTGTTCTTCCCAACCCTCCCGTGTTGTGGGCCCTCGTTGAACACGCAGCGCCGCGCGTCTCCTCCTCCTCTCCTCTCCTCCTTCTCCTCCCCCCCTCCTTCCTCCTTGTCCCTCCTCCTCCTCTTCTCCTCCTCCTCATTCCTCATTCCCCTCCTCCTCCTCCTCCTTCTCCTCCTCCTCACTTCTCTTCCTCGGACTTTTCCTTTTCCTTCTCATTCTCCTCCTCTTCCTGCCCTGGCCAACTCGGCACACCCCTCAGGCGCTTCATTTTGGCACACCCGTCACACGCTCTGTGGCCCCATCGGGTGGTCCTCCCAAGGCCCCAGCGGCTGCGTCCGCATGGTGACTCGGGTCCATTACGGCAAACCCCTCACACGCTTCGTGCCCCGAAAGGAAGCTCCACCGATGGCGGTACTGCGCGGCAACATAGGGACCCCACCCAAGGCCCCAGGGGCTGCGACGTCGTCGCCGACGTCGTCGTCGACGTCGTCGTCGTCGTGGTCGTCGTGGTCGTCGTCGTTTCGGGCCCACACCCCTCTCACGCTTCGTGACCCCATATATAAAATGCTTGGGCTCGTCGCCAGGGTAGCCTATAGCACGCGGTCCCCGGGGCTCTGCTGGGTCCCTTCCCGGGCACGGTCTCTCGCCACGGCTCCTCGGACGGCCCATGCAGGGCCCGAGGAAGGCGCCCGCGGAAGCTGTGAACGACTTCCGCCCTGATCTGTCAGGACATGTGAAAGCGCTCGGCGCCGCACGGAGGACGAGATCGAACGAGGGGCCTGCATGTTAAATCACGGCCACGGCCAGGGCGTGGAGGCCTTCGCGCCCAAGCCTGGAGCCGCGGGCACAACTCCACAGGGCCCGCGGCAGGGGTGCGGAGGCTGCAACGCGCCCGAGCCCGGGGGCAGCGGGCCGAATGTCACACGCCGTCCGTGCGTCAGATAGCATCGTGGTCGTCTCCCCGAGAGCTCAGAGGCAGCCCCCTCAAGCTCCTGGAGCCATCGTGGAGCACTCTTGGGCCGTGTCGGGGCTCCCATCGGGGCCGCTTGGGCAGGCTACGGCTTCTCGGGTGGATCCTGGAGCCGTCTTGGGCTGATTTCGCAAGCAATGTTGATACGATCCGACAGACCTTCAAAAACCTGAGCAACAATGATTTCGGTCTCCTCGGGCGGTCTTCTTGATGCTTCTGGGCTGTTCTGGGTGCTTCCTGGGGGCATTATTGGAGGCCCCTGGGGCGGTCTTCAGGCGATCTTGTGCGTCTTGGAGCGCTTGCCAGCCGTCGCAGATGTGCCTTGGACTAGCATGGGGGTCGCAGACGGAATGTACGACGGCACCTTCGTGTGCAGTTCGTCCACACCTCGCCAAGAACTCGTGAGCTGTCACGCAGAGCTTTGGGAGCCTTTCGATTCCCAGGCCGTTTTCGCACGCACGTATGCCTGCAATGTAGGCGCGATAACGTCGGGCTCCAGCTTCGCCTCCCGCATCTCGCTGAGCAACGCCAGCGCCAGCTGCCACTGCTCGCCTTTCTCGCACGCGCTGATACCAGCGGTGTAGCTGAATAGGGATGAGCCGTGGACACCGCCCACGTCAACCAGCGTGTCCAGCGTGTGCTTGCTGCTGCTTGTTTAAGTTACAGTGACTGCTGCTATTTAGTGCTGCTTGCAAGCACATTGCCTCTCGGGGGCCTTGCTTGGGCCTCCTGGCGGCCTTCTGGGGCTTCTGGGGACCTCTTGCGGACCTGCTGGCGGTCTCAGGGGTTATCTTGAGGTAGCGGGCGCGAAATACGAACTGATCTTGTGCTGTCTTGGGGGCCTATTGGGCCGTCTGTGGGCTCTTTGGAGGGCCTGTTGGGTTGGCTTGGGGCGATCTTGGGGGCCTTGGGGCCGTCATGGAGCGCAGGAAGCCCGAGAAGGAGAACGCGAACATCCTAAAACAAGTTTCTGGGGGAAACCACACTGCGGGCCTCTCGGGGCCCTCTTGGGAGGCCTCTTGGACTTCGAGAGGCCGTGATGGTCACCTCCTTTTCCCCCCTGACTGTCGCCCTGACTCCTCCCCGAAAACACCAGAAACTTTCGGCACGGGGAAAATAATGAGGAGGAGGAGGAGGAGGAGGAGGAGGAGGAGGAGGAGGAGGAGGAGGAGGAGGTTGAGCCGCCTTGGAGCGTCCCGGGGGGCGCGCCGGGGCCTGCGAGGCCGACTTGTGCCCACCGGAGCCCTCTGATGGGGGGGGGCCCCAGCGGGCCGCTATCGGAGCCAGCTCCGGACATCTCTGGGGGACCAAGACATAGACACCACCACCACGTCCCTCACCCCCTCCCTCTCCCAGGGAAGAGGAGAGGAAGAGGAGGGTAGAGGAGAGAGAGGAGGAATCGACGTGGTGGTGGTGTAAATTCTTTGGGTCCCCACTCTCGAGCACTGTCGACGGCTGCCTGGTGCCGCTTGGGGCGGTGCCGACACTGCTCAGAGGCTCAGGGCAGCCCCGGGTGGGGGGGGAGAAGGCACCGGGCCCAAAGACCCGTCCCGCACGCACGTGCCCACCCCGGAATTGAAGTGGGCCCGTGGGCACTCCAAGGTCTGCAGGGCGAAGCCTGCAGCCAGGGTGAAGGGCGCTCATGTTGGCCTCGGCCATGCTGGGTTGCTGCGGGAAGGTCCAGGAGTGGCTGGAGGGGGGGGGGGGGGGGGGGGGAAAGGGGGGGCTAGAGGGTGCGCTGGATCGGCAGAGTGGGGGACCCAGATTGGTGGCTGCAGCCGAGGGAAGTGAGAAGATGAGGGGGACGCAGGCGGGGGCACGACGCGTCTGTAGGTCGCCCCCTGTCACTCACCCCTGGCAGGCTGAGTGGGGGGCCCCGGACGGCTGGAGCTGGGAGGAGGGAGAGAGGGGCGGGAGCGAGGAAGGGAAGTAGAGTGGAGGCCCTACCGTCCACCCCAGCCATCGACCCCGTCTCGCTGTGTGCCGTAGGGTTCTCTGGTGTCGGCGGTGTGGGTGCTGGCGGGCTCGGGCCTCAAGGAACTTCAAGTCGCAGCGCACCCCACCAGGCAACAGCCAGAGTGGGGGGGCACAACAGGGCCAGTTTGAAGCTCACCAAGGAGCAGCTCCCCCCAGGCCTCAAAGGATGGCCCAGGGGGAGCTCCTGAGCCCCATTCGTCCCCCTGTCGTGCAGGGATCGAGACTGTCCTGTGGGGCGCGCGCGCGCGCGGGGAAGGGGAGTAGAGCGGGGAGGTCCCAGAAACAGTGAAGGGATGCCTGTGCTGATGCGAGGACCCGAGGTGGCTACGTGTCTCCCCCCTGGCCCCGAAAAGGCTTGTTGGGGGCTCTCGTGGGGTCAACCTGGCAGCTTGTTGGGTAGTCTTGGCGTCCATTGGGACCTCTGGGGGCCTTTTTGACGTATAGGGCGATGTCGGTCCTGCGTTGAAGGCTCGGGGCCGTGAGGGGATTGCCAGATCGGCCTAAGGCTCCCGGCTCCCCGTGGACTTTCCCTCCTTGAGACGTATTGGGGGCATCGTGGGCCGTATTGGTGGCCCCTTTGGGGGTCTTGGGGCCGTCGGGCCTCTTGGGGCTCCATCAGGGGGAGGAGGAGGAGGAGGAGGAGGAGGAGGAGGAGGAGGAGGAGGAGGAGGAGGAGGAGGAGGAGGAGGAGGAGGAGGACATTTTTTTGGGGGGCATTCGCTTCGGGGTGAACTAAAGTCAGGCGCGTTCCTCGGACAGCAGCTGACCCCCAGACCATTGCCTGGGGCGCTGCCGGTTCCGATTCGGCTACCGAACCCTGCCCCAGAGGGAGGAGGAGGAGGAGGAGGAAGGTTGGAGAAAGGGAGGGGGAAGGAGATCACCTGCTATGCGCTGGGGTAACTCACTTCCCACATTCTAATGGGCTGACCACCTAGCAAAGCGGGACCTGACCTTCCCTCCAAAAGGGA